ATGCATAAATTTTCCAGAGTGAAAAAGAGGCACCCCCAAAAACCGAGGGGGGGTACCTTCAATTGGGAAGGTAAAAAAAAACGCAAAAAAGGGAGCACGAGAAAATATGGAGATAAAATTTTCTGGAGTGTTTCCCACTTCCGGCACCTTTAAAAAGGGGTTGGGGACACTTATAAATAAACCTAAACAAAATAATTTAACTAAGGGCCCCCCCCCCCCCCCCCTTTAAAAAAAAAAAAGAAAAAAAGAGACGTTAACTGTCCCCACGCCACGTCATGAAACAATATTTAACTTTAACCCGGGACACCTGTTAAGAATACACGGCTAAAAGATGCCAAAAGTTTTAAAGGACAACTCTTTTATTTATTGGCTTACTCTGTATACACGTGTTTCCTGATTTTGTGTCTTTTGTTTTCTTTTTGCAATGCAAAGTTGCTAGAACGGCTACGAGTTCAAGAACTGTAAGTGCGCTTTATCTTTTTTTGCTTTTATACTTGCCTTCTAACTTCTCGGATCAATTTTCAGAATTACCTTCCTTTTCAAGTGAGGGCCTTCAATGAAGGCTTTTATTGATACGAGGCCGTGAGAAAGAGGCCAAAATTGTATAAGGGTCAAAGGTAACTTTAGAATAAAAGTATTTAAAGGAAAAATGGAAAACTTAAACGAAACTGATTCCAGGAAAAACTAAAAATGTGTTGCATTCTACAGGGGTCTGAAAATAACTAACAAGGACGCGGGTAACGTCCTTGAGTAAATTATAATTAACATCCTATGTTATTGGCTTTTACAGTAGATAGATGCATTTTTAGATAGACACCTACTCACATTCGCCACCTTAACTTTAGCAAAAAGCACCACAATACAGCAGCTGATTTTTTTCTTTAAACTGTTTCATTTTAGCTCCGCTTCAAAGACCATACATGGACTGAAAGATGAGGTATCTTGTCTGTAGCTTGGACACTTTGAATGTTGCTTCTTTTTTAACAAAAATTGAAATGTTTTATAGGACAAGCCTAAATCAACAGATATAGCTTGTCTTCTTTGAACTAGCTTCCGCCTTTTCTGCAGAAGTTATTTTTGTAGTACTTGTCAACAAATTACCGTAGGGTACTCCACAATGGAAAGAACGTTAAAGAACAATTTTGAAAGTCTACATTTTATTTAGCGTACATTAACATATTCAAAGCAGAAGAATTTTGGAACCTCTGCAGGATTAGCTCAGTTGGTAGAGCGTTTGTCTGCAGAGCGGGGTGTTCCCGGGCCAGGACCAATACTAACGGTCTTAAAATAACTGAAAAATGAACGCTGAAACCTCGCATGGCCCGGATAACCACGGCAACTGCGGTCCCGTCTCCAATAAAGACGTAAAAATAGTTCCCCCAATTCGTGCTTTTAAGTATTAAAATACATTTACACTCAAATGAAGCGTATTTTTATTTTTATTTTTATTCTTTTGGTCTTTAGTATGAAATGCTAACGAGAGTTTTTCAAACCTGCAGGTCGCTTATTACAAATCATCTTACCAGAAAGCCACCGAAGAGTAAGTAAGACATTCTTAGGTAGAATAAATCCTCAAAGTTTCTGTTTTGTACAGTTAGCTTAAAAATCTGGCAGAATGGAAGTAGGATTTTATTCTTCGACAAAAAACGGAATATAGGCACAAGGAACATGTCTGCATGCATGAGAAACGTATTTCAATCTTGAAGTTGAGTTCAAATTTCTCGACAATGCAAGTTTGTAATAAAAAATATCCGTTAATATAGTTATGACGGTTGTCTTCGATACAATACTGAATCTTCTCAGAATTACAGATTAATGGTATGTTGCTTCCGTTTAGCCTTGATTATGTGAAGTCAGGAGTTTTTGGCGTTACTTTCAATCTCGTCAGTGTCCGTGAAACTGACCAAAAGCATCGAAGCTCTGGAAACGATAATGCAACAATTATATAAACAATAATGATATGATAATAATATATCTAGCAGGCTTTACGAGGTTGATTCGAGGCTCACTATGTACGTGGTACACTATTTTACTATCATTTGACGATCGCGTTGTTTTTATGGAAACATTTTGTGACCATTCTTTCCTAATAGTTTTCATCCAGACTGAGGAAGACCCACTGTTGTATACGGTCGAAAAAAAAGTTGTTCTGAAGAATTGTTAGTATTTGTATAACATACGTCGTGCACGTTCTGTCTTCCTGAATAGTGTTTTTAATAATAATGTTTTTTTTTTTAGATGTTTTGTCAGTTTAGGCGTTGCTGATCAAGAGCAACGTTCTTTGGCCCAGCGGTGTGAATTGTGGAAGAAAAGCTCTCAGAGAAAAGATTTGGTTTGTCAACGTTTAGAGAAAGAGAAAGCCGTTCTTTCTAAGAAGATTCAGGTGGAGAATAATTACTTGATTTTTTCAACTGAATAAGTATAGCTTTCATTTATGGCTATAAGTACATCCCTCTTTACTGGCTATGAAAAACTGGAAGTTAGTAAGATTAGTTTGCTAAAATAAGTCGGTAGGCCTGGCTTCTTAGTGCTTAAAAAAACTTTGAAGAGTTGATCACACATACATATTATTTGAAATCAAGAGACTATAAAGGGGACAGAGAGGGCATCCCCCATATACACCCTATTCCATAGGTAATTCGTCTCGAGTTATTTTTAGAATCGGTATAAAGTTACCTCGCGCGAGGCGTGGATGTTTCGTGGAGGTTTCGCGTGACCAAACGCCGTGCAAAACATGTCGGGCGAGAGGCAATGAAAGCGTAAAAAGATCGAGAGCATTCCTGAATATTGAAGCGAAATGAGTCGGCGCTCACCTGGGAAAAAGGAATCGCTGGACTCTTGGACAACCCGTGAAATCAGTTTAACTCGAAGTTGTCGTAACCTCAGTGCTTTAATAAAATGAGAAATTTCGCCGGTCTATTGAAACCGGTCGTTTGTACAATTTAGGGAGTTTAAGATCCAACGACGCGGACGACAACTAGAACGTCAAAAAAACAATAGGTTTAATTAGCAAAACAACAACTTCGCACGTGCAACACACTTTTTTGTTCATTTCTTTCCCGTTTTTGCACGACTACGACGTGAAAATGCCTAATTTCGCGTTTTATGGAGGACGTAAATAAGCAACGACGAAATTTTATTTCTCTTTCTGAGCTTGAATATGGTCCCTTGAAATTCAGCTTTAGGAGGGTTCGCCTACAATTGACAAAGTAAGTGGGTAGGAATAATCGCTATAAAGACTGAAAAAAATAAACATCAAACCAGAAATTGCTCTCTTCAAACTGTAAATTATAAATGATCCTGAGAGAATATTCAGTGTGTTAAGGATTTCCCTGCTCTACTGTTAGCTCTATACAAGAGAGGAAGGGCGATTCTTTTTTAATTTCGGTTTCGCTGACACAGCTTTCGCAGAAATCTCGCTGTAGTCGTTTTCGTCGACAGAAGGAATAGCAAAATCGCTCTCCGCGTCTTCCCCTAATTTGTTCTGCGTCATTTCGTGAAGGACGCGTGGCTCTCAGCGTGGGTCATCCACGCGAAACACATTCGAGCTATGTGATTGGCTGTTGTCTGATCCCCCTTGAGATCTGTGGTGTTAAAAATAACTCGAGACGTTTTACCTATGGAATAGGGTGTATATGGGGGATGCCCTCTCTGTCCCCTTTATAGTCTCTTGTTGAAATCTATGACATTAGCGAAATTGCGGCAATCTTTGATGCGGCAGCTTTTTTTTGAATTGTCAGAAATGAAGGATGTAAAGTACCCGAAAAAAGTATGAATAGACTTAATTTACCGTGACAGTATTTGGTTAGAAGAACACACTAGGTGAAAAGAGGATGCTTCTTTTTTGTTGTATATGAATAATTGACCAATCAGAGAGCGCGCTTTACCCTGTATTAAAATTAACTGAAACTTATTTTAATATTCTTTTCTTTTGATTGCATTAAGGGTGTAATCAAAATGGTGTACATCGAAATTTGTTTGGATGCTTTGTGTTTTGTAGTTATTTGTTAGTTACTATCTAAGAGTGAAAAGTTAATAAAAGCTGTTAGATTAATTGAATTTACTTGTTCTTCGCATCTCAAGTGGTTTAAGACCTGGGACTAAGGCGTTTACTTTAGGAAAATGAATTAGCTCTAACTTTGGCATAGATGATGGCGCTGAGTCAAAAATAGGCACACATAAAGAACTCATTGTTCTTAACATTTTAAAGTATAAACATTGTGTTAATAAGTCACGTGATATGTTACGTGACCACTTTGCTAAAAATTGTAAATTATTGACCAATTGGTGGCCGGTTTAAGAAAAGAAATCGGGAAAAAACATTTTTCTAATTTATATTAAATATTTCTAACACTTCACGTTTGGAATGAGAAAAGTTCATTTTGTTCTAGCTAGGTCTCCTAGCGAGAGATATTGCCAATTATTCATATGCTCAGAACACATCTTTGACCCAGGCCTTAAACCCATTGAGATAGAGGGTACCAGCGATGTACAAACGGAGGATGACCTCTCCATAACATAGAGAAAATTTGAAGAACACTTTTTTTGACACGAACCTCGATCTTAATCCTAACTTGATCCCTCTCTTTTTTATGTTTTAGTCTGAGAAGGAAGCAAAGATTCAACTGCAAGAGTAAGGAACTTGCTTTGTCAACTTTGGCCGCCACCAAATACGGTCTACAGAAACTTTAGAAATCTTAATATTTCGGACACCAAGTTGTTAATATAGACCTTTAGCCTGGGCTAAGAGTGCATATTTTATAAGAAAGTTATTGTCCTTTAGTCTAAAGGACATCCAGGATACAAATCGGTCACTTCTGGCTTTTTCTTAAACCTTTTGTGCAGTTAGATAACCGTTTCTCGAGTAAAATTCCAAAAGTGGGCGATCAACTTACTTGTTATTAAGACGATTAGCGAAGGCTGTCGGAGTCGTAATATTAACACAAAGGTTTATGATCTGTAGTGAAACCAGCATTTCGATTAAACTTACAACGCTACCGATCACAACATAGTTGAAATCAATTTGTCGGAGTGGTAAGCAAAGGCGGATGAACTAAATCAATCAAATTATATGGAATATATGGTCTATATGGTAACAAAATTGATAACCAATATTTTGCACGTACTATCTGAGTTATTCTTCCGCCAGCTAAAAAATGCTCACCCAAACGGACGGACAAGATAGAAGTGTTGATTTTTATAAAGAAATAGGCTTATTTTCGTGAACATAACGGTCCCAAATTCCGAAGTAGTCTAGTTACATGTATTTTATTCATAAAGAAAATTAAAGGCCTTCGCTACCCAGATCCCACAGGTCTGTAAGTTTGACCGTTAGGGATATGGATGCAAGATGTTTGAAGACCAGTACAAGTCTAAGGGTAACACGTAGGTAGACATGTCATTTATTTACCTTTTTTTTTACCCTTCTTAGAAATTACGATAATCTTAGGGACGACTTAGCTGCATTTAAGAAGCAAGTTGAACTCCTCAAAGAACAGGTGGGTGAATAAAAATTTTAAATCTGTGTTTAATTTTCTTTCGAAAGTTTTTCCTCAGGAAAATGTCCCCGGTTTAACATTATCTTATGAGGTACGGGTTGAGTTGAGCAAGGAAAAATTGTTTTCAAAAAGAATCCATTAGACTGTTCCGCTTTTTAAAATTGTACCAGTTGTACAGACATAGTACAATACGTTTTAAATTATTGATTTAAGTTGCTCTCTCGTTTTCAGAATTATAATCTGCGATATTATGGAGGAGTAATTGGAAAATTCCGAAGAATGAAACGCTTCATCGTAAATGCGTTTCGAAGATCTTCATCTTAAACGTACAAACTTTATTTGGGATAGGGTCTGGGGTTGGGTTTTTAGACGGGAAAAAATATTCTTATGACTAAAATCTTAGTTTATCTGCTGAGAAAAATGGCGATGACTGATCTGTTCTAAAATACTCGTATTTAGAAATAACTGGATTAGATAGTGTGCAAAGATTTTCATCGTAAACTTTAAAGCTATATTTTGTGCATGGCGAGGTGGGGTGGGTGGATGTGTGTGTGTGGGGGGGGCGGGGGGCGGTGATTTTATTGTTGGAAGCCTAGCTTACTACGTCAAAGAATTAAAACGAAAAAGAGCAAAATAAAAGAGCAAATAACAAATAAAACGGAAGAAAACAAATAACAAGTACCAAAATAGTTCCATAAAACACTTTACAACAACAGCAAAAAAAAAAAGAAAAGAAACAAAGAAACAAAACAAAAAATAAATATCATTTTAAAAAAAACAAAAAAGAAACACAGAAAAAACAACAACAACAACAACAAATATCATTTTAAAAAACAAAAAAGAAATACAAAAACAAAACACAAAACAAAAAACTAATATTTTGCTGTTGTTGTTTTGAAGTGTTTTATGGAACTATTTTGGTCTTTGTTATTTGTTTTCTTCCGTTTTATTTGTTATTTGCTCTTTTTCTACAACCATGTGTTTGAATGAACAATGTAGCCCATTTATCACTGAGTGTGCGCAATGTTTACAAGCTTCTTAATGAATATTTATTTCAGTGATCAATTACACAATACAAAACGTTTATCTCAATCACCGTTCTGAAAGTCTAGCTACGGGCCTGACATTATTTAATCTAACTCCTTACTATCGTACATGACGCTTTTTTTAAAATAATTCTTTTTTAGCTTTACTATATTCCACTGAAACAGTCAAAACTTTAGATTGACCTGTTCCTCAAATACTAAAGGCGCAAACAGATTTTTAACGTGGAAACAACTACAACGAACAATAAAAAAAAAAAAAAAAAAAAAAAAAAAAAAAAAAAAAAAAAAAAAAAAAAAAAAAAAAAAAAAAAAAAAAAAAAAAAAAAAAAAAAAAAAAACTAAAAAAAAAAAAAAAAAAAAAAAACAAAAAAAAAACAAAAAAAAAAAATAAATAAAACATCATAGTACGGCACTACTTATATTGTCTCCATTCTCCTTCCTCTCTAAGTTACCTCTTTTTATAAAAAATCTTTTTTTTTCTTTATTTTATACCCTCAGAAACACAAAAAATTAAGTTTGCACTGTCACATAAAAAAAAAAAAACAAAAAAAAATTTAAAAAGAAAAAAAACAAAAACGAAAAAAAAAAAAAAAAAAAGAAAACAACAACAACAACAACAACAAAAACAAAAAAAGAAAAAAGAAAAATAACGTCACACAAAAAAACAAAATGAGACCTGAAAAATAAAATAAAAAATAAAAACAATAGAAAAGCAGGAGAAAAAAATAAAAATATATAAAAATAAATCGTTGTAGAACAAATCAAATATAACAAACTTGTTTCAGTTACTGCATTAGGCCTTAATGATCCAAACATATCCATATATCTTTCAAAGCCGAGATTTTTCTTCTTTTCTAAAAAAATAGACGTCCGCACTTAGGGTATTGGCATCGTCTTAACCCGTGCACAGGAAAACGCTAAAACGAAAAAAATACGATCGAAAAACTTATAGGGCATGCCCTGAACGATGACTGTACGGAGATCATCGAGAAAAACGATACGCCTGCGTTTTCAAAAAGGGCTCCACCCCAGAGAGAGGTTTTGAAAAAATGACTTTTTTCGATGACCGTTTTCACCAAATACTTGCATGTGGACTTAAGGCAAAACCGCATAAATAATTCTCTGTTTTCAAAGAAAATAGGGTATGTGCGGACAGGGCTAATACTAGTTCGGACGATATCATCACGTTGTAAAAATTTGCTCATACTATACTCATTCGTATAAGGAGTTGTGTCATATTAAAAAGATGTTTTGGAGTTTGAATTGGTGGTGTGTTTTTCTAGTTTTATCTTTGTTAAAAGCACGATTTAACGTTCTCGCCAGTGTTCAACTGTAAAAAGAATTAACAACACTGTATTTTATAACTATATTTTCTCCACAAATTTTCGTACATTACTTGTACAGAGCTGCTGAACAAGTAATGTTACTGTGGTAAATAATTGAATGAAGTTAGAGTTAACTCTAACTGACAATTTTTTTAAGTACTAAAAGAAAACTAAAATGGCTATGATTGGAAGGAGGATTGTACTGGATGTCATACCAGGTCATTCAAATTTCACTTAATTGGAAAAAGGTCAAAAAGCTCTGTCCTGCAAAACAGTGCGTCAACGTGTGGAGCATAATGTTGTCAATCTTTTAGAACCCAATTATACTATTGCGAGAAGTGCCTAAAGACATCTTATAAGGCTTCGTTTCCTATATATTGTCCAGCTAGTGCTAATGAACATTCTGCGACAAACTGGTAATAAACTGTCTTCAAATGTCTTCTAGTGGGGGTACTTCGGAGAATTACAATGCAAACTACAGCCGGCCCTCTCTTTAAGTTGGTGTCTTTTCCCTAGCTCGAATAGCGGCACAACAATGCTTGGAGGGGGTGGGAGGGTAAGAGCTTCATTTTCGTTTAGAAAGTCAGCGGAAAACGAAAAGAAAAGTTCGTTAAAGCAGTGTCTCAACCAATTTTCTCCGATTGAACCTCAAAAGAATGTCATCATACAGAAAGTAACAAAACGCAACTTTTCTTCTCAGGTAAGGAAACAATTCAAAGTTTTAACGGTTTCATTTTGAGCCACTACGTTGTTGTTTGCGAAGTGATAAACTTGTGAGTTGCCATATCTGAAAATTCTGCTAAGATGTAACTTTCGAATTTTTTGATCTGTCAATTCTTTCTTATTTTGTTGAGATCATTTCGAGTTCATATACTAAAACAATTATTCTTTTCATTCTCGGTGAGTAGTGCATGGCTTTTGATAGGAATATTTACCTCGATTTAACAACGTGGAAAAAAGTGATCTATTATTTCATCAGCCTCGCCCGTTTCCATTTTCAACTAAACCATCTTAATTCCTTTTTCTCATTATATATGGCAGTAACCCTTCCCCCCCCCCTCCCCCTCCACTCCCGAAATAAACATGGCGTGAAAGTGGGTCAACTATGTTGTGTTCTCTAGTGTTCTTAAGTCCTGAATAAAGTAATCATTTTTACCAGAACATGTAAGCCTCCGTAGCTCAGGGGTTAGAGCACTGGTCTTGTAAACCAGGGGTCGAGAGTTCAAATCTCTCCGGGGGCTTAAGCTATTCTTGTTTTCTTTTCGTTTTCAATACATGGTACCTTTTTAATTCGTAATTGTTTTGTTCTTAAAATTACCCTTCAACAACAGGGGTCTTTTTTGCATGAGCATGCGCGACCGCTGAACAAGCGATGTGCATGGAGGCTTACTACAGGGTTTGCCTTCATCAAAATGGCGCGTCTCAAAGCAATCATAGCGATTAATTTGCTCATTGGTCTTAGCGAATGTGCTCGTGATTTAACAAAATGCGTAGTTTGCAAAAAAAACTCTAACATAGTCTTAACAAAAGCGAAGTAGACCGGCTTTAACATACACGAGCTACTATCAAATTTCATCTCCCCACTTGACCTGGACAACGGCGCGCGTATATGTAGTGCCTGGAGGATTGCGCTGACCTCATCAAAGTCTAAACAAAGTGCAGAAACGTTTGTTGATGCAAGTAAACACTTTCAATTTTCTTTTTTTTGAGATTGGAAAGGAAGAGAAATATTAAAAAAAAACATAGCAAATTTCAGCGAGTGGGTTCGAAGTGCGCGAAAGCCGATGTTCAGTTCAGCAATGAATTAATATATGTTCTACAATTTTCCCAACACTTGAAAGCTACAAAATTGAAAGCACACGAGACGTAGATTAGTCACCTGGCGAGATGTTGGTGGTAGTCACTCGGTATGTCTCGAACAATAAAAAAAATGAATGTCAATGAGACACAGTCAAAACTGCATTCAATAGGACCGAAATTAAAGTCCCATCTTGTGACCGATTTTGATGAAACAAACGGTTAGGTTTCCCAAGAAGTACAGTAAACATGTGATGCCGACCAAAAGTTAAAAATCCTTAGAACATTTAAGTTCTGGCTAAAAGCAAATTCCTGTAAAAGATGCGTTACAAGGTTAGTCCACGCAAAAACAAGGAGTTCTATAATTTTCCCATAAACAAACTTTGTATCGCTAAAATACTTAAGGCAAAAACTTTCTATTTCAACTGAAAACGGCGTGGTAGTCGCCCGCTGATCATTATTAATCCTCTCCCGAAATATGGCTAAATCAGCTATTAACAAATTATTGACAGAAATCCTCTACGGCATCGAGAAACTGATTTACATCCGATTTATAGACAAACACCAAATAAAGAACATTTTGCTCAATAGCTACGCATCAGCAATGCATTCTATGCCAAACTTTGCGGTTCTTAAAGGGGAATCAAGACACGAGTCGAGCGCCAAACAACAACAAGCAGCCATGTTCGTGTCAAACATCCTTGAGAAACTTGCTCTTTCACCTCGTTCAGCGCATCAGTCTCCACTTTAAATCAACAGATCTTTACTTATTTTGTACAACGAAGGTTTTTCCTAAGTTCCTGCTACCATTTCAATCTCAAGCAAGCTTTCAAAGTGAACAATTTGGTTCCTATGACTATGCAGCACGGTCGCTGTCAGTGGTCGCGTGCTCTTTGACAAGTCAGCGGTCGCGCATGCTCATGCAAAAAAGACCCCTGTTCCCTTCAACAATATTCTTAGAGTTCCAAAATTAAGTGCGTGTAATCTTTTATTGGAGATCGGCCACCGAGCCCCGGGGTGTTGGGAAGGGGGGGAATGGGGGTTAGGTCACTGCTATATATGGCTTAGGTATGTGCCGTCATGAAGGGTGTGATTTTCAAACAGTTTACTCTCGGATGGGGTATATGAATCAGGTAGTTTGGGTCTAGAAAAGGGT